CCTTCTACCCCTTTGATCTCCCTTCATAGACTGCTGTGATCTGCAGTGACAAACACAGCAGACCTAGCATTTTCTGCTCCCCTAAGTGCAGGGGCAAGCTGAGGGTTCTTTCAAAAGATCAGGAAATTCTCAGGTTGCATCTACAAGAGCCAGAAGTTAGAAGGCAACCAGGTGCAGACTTGGATATTTCTCAGTAGATTCAAAACCCAGCAATGCCACTGTAGCTGCAGATTTGAGTAAATGACTTCACTTCTCCAAGCTAAAGTTTCCTTTCAGTTAGGATTCATGACCTTATCATGAGGATTAATATATGTAGGCACCAGGAACTTAAAGTGCTTAAAGTACGTTGATTGTCCTTGAGATGCAGTGTGCACTACACTATCAGCAGTAAGGTTAGGGGTAGTAGCAAGAGAGAATGTCAGGCAGGAAAGTCATGGGTAATCTCAGGTTGGAACCGGGATGTACTGACCATGAGGATTCCTGGAACTGTGGTCTCATGGGAAGCCATTGCATTGTGTATCTGGGTAATTGAGCTCTGCTGAGGCTGCTAAGGGCCTCCTGATCCTGTGGGTTTTCTGGCTCAGTGCTGCTGATTCTGGAGAGTCTTTGCAGAATGAGGTTTTAGTTTTAGTTCCAAAGGCCTCAGTTCTGGGATATAGGAGCAAAGCCCAGGAAGTGGCTGGTGCGTAGCACACTAGAATTTATTCCTCCTATCTCTATCAGGCTTGGGGGAGGCTGGAACCCTCTGTTGTAGAAATCTTTGTCCAGAGCTGGGCCTGCCCAGGTGTCCTGTGCTCCTGGGCCTTGAGGGCTCCCTCAAGTCTTTGGGGTGCCTTCCATGGCTGAGGGTCTCAGTGACATCCAGGTTGTACGAAAGGGAGCCCAGGCCCTGGGCTCTGATCAGCTCCTGACAGTGGGAAAGTTGTTTCTTCTGAATCTATTTTTCTATAGTTGGATTCCCTGGGATTCAAGAAAGACAAAGTCTTGTTCATTCTTTCTCAAATCTCAGAGAAAAAAAAAAAGCAGACTCTCTCTGTGTGTGTGTGTGTGTGTGTGTGTGTGTGTTGTGTTGGAGTACCAAAAGCAGGGATGGAGTGAAGGGATTCATTCTCAGGCCTTTGGGGACCTTGAGGTCGGTCTGGTGAATTTTGTCATCAAAATTCTCTTATCCAAAAAGATCAATGAAATCCCCATTACTTGCTTTTTCTTCCAGTTTTGCTTTCCCAGGCTTTCTCTAGTAAAAACCTAGAGTATAAATTTTGTAGTTGTAAAAGCTATTATCAATGTGTTAGTATGTCTCCTCTCCTTCACTGCAGTCTTTAATTTTTTAATTTTTTTATTTTTTGTAGAGACGGGGTCCTGGTATGTTGCCCAGGCTGGTCTTAAACTCCTGGACTCCAGCAATTCTCCCACCTCCACCTCCCAAAGTGCTAGGATCACAGGCGTGAGCCATCACACTTGGCCTGAATGCATTCTTTTCTAGTTTTTATTTTAATTAACACTGCATTAGTCCCTTCTCGCATTGCTATAAAGAAATACCCGAAGGCCGGGCGCGGTGGCTCAAGCCTGTAATCCCAGCACTTTGGGAGGCCGAGACGGGCGGATCACAAGGTCAGGAGATCGAGACCATCCTGGCGAACACAGTGAAACCCCGTCTCTACTAAAAAATACAAAAAACTAGCCGGGCGAGATGGCGGGCGCCTGTAGTCCCAGCTACTCGGGAGGCTGAGGCAGGAGAATGGCGTAAACCCCGGAGGCGGAGCTTGCAGTGAGCTGAGATCCGGCCACTGCACTCCAGCCCGGGCGACAGAGCGAGACTCCGTCTCAAAAAAAAAAAAGAAAAAAAGAAATACCCGAGAGGCCGGGCGCGGTGGCTCAAGCCTGTAATCCCAGCACTTTGGGAGGCCGAGACGGGCGGATTACGAGGTCTAGGAGATCGAGACCACCCTGGCTAACACGGTGAAACCCCGTCTCCACTAAAAAATACAAAAAACTAGCCGGGCAAGGTGGCGGGCGCCTGTAGTCCCAGCTACTCGGGAGGCTGAGGCAGGAGAATGGCGTAAACCCGGGAGGCGGAGCTTGCAGTGAGCTGAGATCCGGCCACTGCACTCCAACCTGGGCGGCAGAGCGAGACTCCGTCTAAAAAAAAATAAATAAATAAATAAAAAGAAATACCCGAGACTGGGGATTTTATAAAGAAAAGAGGTTTAATTGGCTTACAGTTCCAGCTCCACAGGCTGTTCGGGAAGCATGATGCTGGCATCTGCTCAGCTTCTGGGAGCGCTCAGGAAACTTACCATCATGGTGGAAGGCAAAGGAGAGGCCAGCGCTTCACCTGGCCAGAGCAGAAGGAAGCAGGGAAGGCGCTAGACACTTTTAAACAGCCAGATCTCGTAAGAACTTACTATCACGAGAACAGCAACAAAGGGACAGTGCTAAGCCATTCATCAAGTATTCACCACCATGTTCCAATTACCTCCCACCAGGCCCTACGTCCAACATTAGGGATTAGAAATCCCCATGATATTTGAGTGGGGACACAGATCCAAACCGTATCAGACACATTGTAATCCTAGCACTTCCGGATCACATTTATGAGGTACAATTTGATGTTTCAGTACGTATCTATGTTGTATAAAGAGCCAGTCAGGGTGGTTAGTGTATCCATCACCTCATGCATTTGTCATTTCTTTGTGGTAAGAATATTCAAAAGCCTCTTCTAGTTATTTTGTAATATACAATATTTTATCATTAACCATAGTCACCCTACTGTGCAACAGAACACCCGAATTCATTTCTCCTGATTGTAACTTTGTACCCACTGACTGACGTCTCCGCATTTGTACCCCCACCCCATCTCTGGTAACAACTGTTCTGCTTTCTGCTTCTGAATACCTTCTCTTTGCTTTAGAAGATTTGAACAGATTGAGCAGATTTCTTTTTCCTAAAACTTCTTGCCTTCCCCAGTTCTTGTTCTTCCCATTCCAGTCAGTAATGCTACCAAAGGGTGCTATCTCTTTTATTGATTGATTGAGACGGAGTCTTGCTCTGTTGCCCAGGCTAGAGTGCAGTGGCACGATCTTGGCTCACTGCAACCTCCGCCTCCCAGGTTCAAGCGATCCTCCTGCGTCAGCCCCCCTAGTAGCTGGGATTACAGGCACACGCCACCATGCCTGGTTAATTTTTGTATTTTTAGTAGAGACGGGGTTTCGCCATGTTGACCAGGCTGATCTCAAATTCCTGACCTCAGGTGATCCACCCACCTCGGCCTCTCAAAGTGCTGAGATTACAGGTGTGAGCCACTGTGCCTGGCCAAGGCTGCTGTCTCTTAAGGGCCCCTCTGTTCTCCAAGAACTGTTTAGGTATTTATTAGCAAACCTCTTAGCATTTGTGGTTTTTTGAGACAATGTCTTGCTCGGTCACCCAGGATGGAGTGCAGTGGCACAATCATGGGTCTGCTGCCTCAACCTCCGAGGCTCAAAGAGCTCCTCCTGCCTCAGCCTCCCAAGTAGCTGGGACTGCAGGTACGTGCCACCTTACCCGGCTAATTTTTGGATTTTTCTGTAGAAACAGGATCTCACTGTGTTGGTTTTGAACTCCTGGGCTCAAGCAATCCTCCCACCTTGGCCTCCCAAAGTGTTGGGATTACAAGAGTGAGCCACTATACTAGGATTAGCATTTTTTAGATTCATATTCTTCCACTGAGAGTACTGATGGAGTAGGAAAACCAATCCCTGATGGAAATTTTCATACCTCCTTTCTTGGAGCTGTGATTTGATGAAGTGGAAATGAATGGTTAAGTGGAATCACATATTGCAAACTTGAGTTTTCTAATTAGACAAGAAAGGAATTGATGTTGATTTATTGTATTGCAGTCTCAGTATCAGCCAGTATCTCTAGCTGTCTGAGGATTTTAGGACTGGGGATATCCTGAGATATGTAGATTGTATGGAGTTACAGGATATTCCCAAGGAGTCTGTGCCAGATGGATAAAGTGTGTCCATTTTGAACTTGTGTAGTATGTGCGCACCTCGTGTGACATCGTTGTGAGTCTGGATCTTTCTCCATCAGTTCTGGTAGCTAAGGAACAAGGAGAGTATGGTTGGGGACATCTGTGGTAACAGGAACAATTTAGCCAGATGTACAAATTGTTAAGAAGTGACCAGGCACGGTGGCTCATGCCTGTAATCCCAGCACTTTGGGAAGCCAAGGTGAACGTATCACTTGAGGCCAGGAGTTCAAGAACAGCCTGGCCATCATGGTGAAGCTCTGTCTCTACTAAAAATACAAAAATTAGCCAGGTGTGGTGGCCCATACCTGTGATCCCAGCTACTCAGGAGGCTGAGGCAGGAGAATCACTTGAACCTGGGAGACAGAGGTAGCAGTGAGCTGAGATTGCTCCACTGTACTCCAGCCTGGGCGACAGAGTGAGACTGTCTCAAAATAAAATCAAAGAAAATAAAAATAAATTGTTGAAAAATAATGACTATCGTAACTGCAAAGGAACCTTTAGGGAAATTCTTCAACCGACTTCCTCAAAATAAGAACATAATATGAGGAATCATGCAGCCAGTAAAATTACTGTCTATTTAAGAATGGTGATGTAGAAAACTGATTTAGGATTTAATTTATTGAATGGGAAAGAAGAAGAGGCAATGAGAAGCTTGCATGCTTAACACAGGGTATGCTGTGTACTTGCAAGCACAGTTTCATTTAATTGGGAAAAACCGCTTACGTGGACTTAGTTTATTCTCCAACGTGGGTGGATAATGGAAGTGCCTAGAGGCTACCTCTGCAGGAGTAGGCATGCCCAAGAACCATGTGGGCACTTGACTCTGATCACCCGTTTCCACACTGACCCATCCATGTTGAATGCGGCCAGTATGGTCTGTTTTCCTAATGGAACTTCCCTACTGAATTGCTTTCTCCATTTTCTTTTATATTGTCTTAAAGATTTTGTCCATGAATTTCACAAATGGTATATTTATTTGTGATTTCAGGGCTTGAAGTTCAAAGATGTGGTCATTTACTTCTCTCAAAAGGAGTGGGAATGCTTGCAGTCTGCTCAGAAGGATTTGTACCAAGATGTAATGTTGGAAAATTACAGCAACCTGGTCTTACTGGGTAACTTTATCTGCCCCTCTGCACACCCCCCGCCCCGCCAAACACGGAACTGGCCTTCTGGAATTCTTACGTTCTTTTTTTCTGAGTTTGTCGCAAGTGCTTTTCAAGTACCTGGATGAGTTAATGTTTCTTGCTCACCAAAAGAATGGTTTGTCTCTTGTGAAGTTGGAAATAGGCTGTTCCAGTAGGCACCTTTATCTTCCCTGGTGCTCTGACCCTCACTCCTTCTTCTGACCCTTAATCTACCTGCTCCTCTTTCGTGATAATTAGGGACTGATTTTTAATTCTGACACCCACAACAAAATCTTGTTCCCTTTGTGTTTGAGCAGGGCTTTCTGATACTAAGCCAAATGTGATCTCCTTATTGGAGCAGAAGAGCGAGCCCTGGTTGGTTAAGAGGAATGAGACAAAAGAATGGTGTCCAGGTGAGTGATGATGAACCAGAATGGGGAGGCCATAGCAGTTGGTCACTTAGCTCATCTGTGAGAAGGCAGCACTTTGGGGATTTTGGTGGGAAAGCTGCCTAAAAATGCTGGAGATCGGGAGGAGAAAGTAAGGATGTTGTAATCACAGCACTTTGGAAGGCTTTTTTTTGAGATCAGGAGTTCGAGACCAGCCTGACCAACATGGTGAAACCCCGTCTCTACTAAAAATACAAAAAAATTACCCAGGCCTGGTGGTGCATGCCTATAATCCCAGCTACTCAGGAGGCTGAGGCAGGAGAATTGCTTGAACCTGGGAGGCAGAGGTTGCAGTGAGCCGAGATTGCACCACTGCACTCCAGCCTGGGCAACACAACAAGACTCCATCTCAAAAAAAAAAAAAAGGCCAAGGCGGGCGGATTACGAGGTCAGGAGTTCAAGACCAACCTGGCCAATATGGTGAAACCCTGTCTCTACTGAAAATACAAAAATTAGCTGGGCATGGTGGCAGGTGCCTGTAATCCCAGCTGTTTGGGAAGCTGAAGCAGGAGAATTGCTTGAACCCAGGAGGCAGAGGTTGCAGTGAGCCGAGATCACGCTACTGCTCTCCAGCCTGGGTGACAAAGCGAGACTCCATTTCAAAAAAAAAAGAAAGAAGGATGTTTCAGCTCCATTTACCAGGCTTTCTTGCTCACCTCCTATAATACTTCCCCCTCATTTCAGAGAGGAAGTGCCCTCTTTCTTCCCCTGTGACAACCATTTTACTTGCATTTTGGGTCCAATTTTGTCCTGACTTTTAAAAACAGTTTTATTGAGATAAAATTCATATATCATAATATTCATCCATTTAAAGTTCAGTAATTTTTAGTCAGTTTGCAACCATCACAACAGTCTAATTGTAGAACATTTTCGTCACTCAGAATGAAACGCCATACCCGTTAGCAGTCACTCCCCAAACCCAGCCCCAAGCAACTACTGATCACTTTCTGTCTTTATAGATGTGCCTGTTCTGGACATTTTATATTAATGATATCACACAACATATAATTTATGACTGGCTTTTTTCACTTACCAGAATATTTTCAAAGTTCATCCGTAGTGTAACATATACCAGTGTCTCATTCTTTTATATTGCCAAATTGTATTCCATGGTATAGATATTACCATTTTGTTCATTCATCAGTTGGTAGACATTTGGGTTGTTTCTACTTTTAGGCTACTATGTATGACTAAAGCTGCTATGAATATTTGTATATAGATTCCCTTCTTCTCTTAGTTTGTTGAGTATTTTTGTCATGAAAGGATTTTAGAAGACTTTTTTCCATTACTTTTTCTGCATCTATTAAGATATCTGTAGTTTATGTCCTTTGTTGTATTAATATGTTTGATTACATTGATAGACTTCTGGATGTTGAACCAACCTTGCATTTGTAGGATAAATTTTACCTGGATGTGGTATATAATCCTTTCTCTAAGCTGTTGGATCTGGTTTGGTCTTTTTTGTTGAAGATACTGGTCTGTAGTTTTCTTGTGATATCTTTGCTTTGTCTGGTTGGTATCAGGGTAATACTGGCCTCAGAATTAGGAAATGTTTCTTTGTCTTCTGTCTTTTTGAAGTGTTCATGAAGGATTTATATTAAGTTTTCTTTAAGGTTGGGTGAGGCCATTTGCTCCTGGGCTTTTCTTTGTGGGAAGATTTTTTTACTCTAATTCAGTCTCTTTATTTGGTATAGGCCTATTCAGGTGTTCTGTTTCCTCTTGAGTCAATTTTGGTGGTTTTGGGTCTTTTTAGGAATTTGTCCATTTTGTCTGAGTTGTTTAATTTATTGGCATATAGTTATTCGTAGGAGTTCCTTATAACCCTTTTTATTTCTATAAGGTCAGTAGTGATATCTCCTATTTCATTCCTGATGTTAGTATTTTGAGACTTCTCTCTTTTTTTGTTGGTCAATCTAGCCAAGGATTTGCCAATTCTGTTGATCTTTTCCAAGGACCAACTTTTGGTCTCATTGATTTTCTCTGTTGTTTTTCTATTCTCTATTTTGTTTATGGCTGCTGTTATCTTTTATTATTTCCCTCCTTCTGGAAGCTTTATGTTTTTGTTTATTCTTTATTATCTGGTTCCTTAAGATACACAGTTAGATTGTTGATTTGAGATATCTCTGGTTTTTTTTCTTCTTGTTTTTAATATAGGTGTTTTTAGCTGTAAATTTCCCTTTAAGCTCTGCTTTAGCTGCATTTCATAAGTTTTGGTATATTGACTTTTCATTTATCTCAAAATATTTTTTAATTTTCCTTGTGATTTCTTCTTTAACACATTGGTTATTTAGGAGTATGTTATTTAATTTTCACATGTTTGTGAATTTCCCAAATTTCCTTCTGCTGTTGATATCTAAGTTCATTCCATTGTAGTTGCAAAACATATTTTGTGTGATTTCAATCCTCTTACATTTATTGAGGGCTGTTTTATGGCTTAATATATGGTCTAACCTGAAAAATGTTCCACATGTGCTTGAGAAAAATGTGTATTCTCCTGTTGTTGAGTGGAGTATTCTACGAATGTTTTCTTAAGTTTAATTGGTTTATAGTGTTTTTCAAGCTTTCTGTTTCCTTGTTGATCTTCTGCCTAGCTATTCTATTCATTATTGAAAGTAAAGTATTGAAGTCTTCAATTTGTTCAATTGTCTATTGCTGTCTTTAATTCTTGCTTTACCTATTTTGGACCTGTGTTATTAGGTGTATAGACACTTACAACTCTTAGTTTTCTGACTATCATTATATCCTCTTATCATTATAACATACCTTTTTTTCTGATTTGTTTTTGTTGTTGTCGTTGTTGTTTGAGATGGAGTCTAGCATTGTCGCCCAGGCTGGAGTGCAGTGGCACAATCTCTGCTCACTGCAACTTCCACCTCCCGGGTTGAAGTGATTATCCTGCCTCAGCCTCCTGAGTAGCTGGGATTACAGGTGCCTGCCAACACACGCAGCTAATTTTTGTATTTTCAGTAGAGACAGGGTTTCACTGTGTTGGCCAGGCTGGTCTTGAACTCCTGACCTTGTGATCTGCCCGCCTTGGCCTCCCAGAGTGCTGGTATTACAAGCGTGACCCATCGTGCCCAGCCAAAATATCCTTTTTTCTCACTGGTTACAATTTTTGTCTTAAAGTTTATTTCATCTGGTATTAGTAATGCTATTTTAGCTCATTTGTGGTTACTCTTTGCATGGTATATCTTTTTCCATTCTTTCATTTCAACTATTTGTGTCCTTGAATCTAAAGTTTGTCACGGGGGCTGGGCATGGTGACTCATACCTGTAATCCCAGCACTTTGGGAGGCAGAGGTGGGCAGATCAATTGAGGTCAGGTGTTTGAGACCAGTCTGGCCAACATGGCAAAACCCTGTATCTACTAAAAATACAAAAAATTAGCCAGGCATGGTGGCCCATGCCTATAGTCCCAGCTACTCAGGAGGCTGAGGCATGAGAATCACTTGAACCCAGGGGGTGGAGGTTGCAATGAGCTGAGATCACATCATTGCACTCCAGCCTAGGTGACAGAGTGAGACTGTGTCTCAAAAAACAAAAACAAAAACAGTGTGTCTCAGGTAGATTGCATATACTTGGATCACATTTTTTAAATCCATCCTGCCAACCTCTTCTTGTAGTGTTTAACAAAGTCTGTAGTGTTTAATATGTTTACATTTAATACACTGATGGGGTGGGATTTACAATTGGTATTGTGGTATTTGTTTTCTATTTGTGTTGTTATTGTTTTATTCCTCTATTCTTCCATTACTACCTTCTGTTATAGTACCTAAATATTTTCTAGAGTACCATTTTTGTTCCTATACTGTTTCTTATACAATAGTCTTTGAAATTATTTTTTTGGTGGTTGCCTTCAAGATTATAATTAGCATTTCAACTTAAAACAATCTAGTTTGGATTAATATTAACTTAACTTTAATCTTATATAAATTCTTTGCTCCAAAATACTTCTGTTCCCACCTCCCTTCTTTGTACTATTATTGTCATACAAATTACATATTTATACATTATAAGCCAATATTGGCAGAATAATGACCCCCTCAAAGATGTCCATATCCGAATCTCTGAAACTTGTGAACGTGTTACTCTTACATTGTAAGGGGGAATTCAGGTTGCAAATCTTCTCAACTTCAGTTAGGGAGAGGATCTTAGGTTATCCAAGTGGGCCCAGTGTAATCACAAGGGTCTTTAAAAGTATCAGAGATGTGGCTGGGTGCAGTGGCTCACACCTGTAATCCCAACACTTTGGGAGGCTAAGGTGGGCAGATTGCTTGAGCCCAAAAGCTCCTCATTTTCTCATTTTTCACTTCCCTTTTTTTTTTAAATTGCCATGTAAAGAATTATTAACTATTTTTAGTTTGTCATTTCTACTTCAGAACTTTTCTTTGTCCTGCAATGTGAAAATACCTCCTATTTTCTTCTTGTTATTTTTTATTTTACAGATTGGGAGTTTGGAAGAGAAACCAAGAATTTCTCTCCAAAGGAAAACATTTATGAAATTAGATCACCGCAACAGGAGAGGTTCAGAGCCATCAGAGAAATCAGATGCCAGGTGGAGAAACAACAGGGTCTCCAGGAGGGACATTTCAGACAAGCTGTAATACCATTTACTTCCGTGCAGTGCACAGCCCATAGAGAACATCAGTGGATTCATACTGGAGAGAAATCCTGTGAATGCAGGAAATGTAAGAATGCTTTCAGGTGCCAGTCATGTCCTATTCAACATGAAATAATTCATAATAAGAAAAAAGACCCTAAATGTGGAGAACATAGGAAAATCTTTAATGGTGGGATCAGACTTGATTAAGCATCAGAGGCTTAATGAAAGCAAAAACCATAGTGAAAATAACAAATGTGCCTTTAATCGTGATTCTGGAATTACTCAACCTCGGAGCATTAATACTGGAGAGAAACCTTATAAATGTAAGGAATGTGGGAAAGCCTTTCATTCCAGCTCACAACTTAGTCAGCATCGAGGATGCATCTTGGCAAGAAACCCTGTAAGTGTAGGGAGTGTGGGAAAGCCTTTCCATCCACCGCACAGCTTAATCTACATCAGAGGATCCATACTGATGAGAAATACTATGAATGTAAGGAGTGTGGGAAGGCCTTTACCCGTCCCTCACACCTTTTTCGACATCGAAGAATCCATACTGGTGAGAAACCCCATAAATGTAAGGAATGTGGGAAGACTTTTCGTTATGACACACAACTGAGCCTTCATCAGATAATCCATACTGGTGAAAGACGCTATGAATGCAAGGAGTGTGGGAAGGTGTACAGTTGTGCCTCACAGCTGAGTCTACATCAAAGAATTCATACTGGTGAGAAACCCCATGAATGTAAGGAATGTGGGAAAGCCTTTATCTCTGATTCACATCTTATTCGACATCGGAGTGTCCATACTGGGGAGAAACCCTATAAGTGTAAGGAATGTGGGAAGTCCTTCCGTCGTGGCTCAGAACTTACCCGACATCAGAGAGCTCACACTGGTGAGAAACCCTATGAGTGTAAGGAATGTGGAAAGGCCTTTACTTGTAGCACAGAACTTGTTCGACATCAAAAAGTTCACACTGGGGAGAGACCCCATAAGTGTAAGGAATGTGGGAAGGCTTTTATTCGAAGGTCAGAGCTCACTCATCATGAGAGAAGTCACACTGGTGAGAAACCCTATGAGTGTACGGAGTGTGGGAAGGCCTTTGGTCGTGGTTCAGAACTTAGTCGACACCAGAAAATTCATACTGGTGAGAAACCATATGAATGTCAGCAGTGTGGAAAGGCCTTTATTCGGGCCTCACACCTTAGTCAACATCAAAGAATTCATTCAGGAACCAGGAGTGAATGAAGAAATGAGGGATGGCTCAGAATTTGATTAACATGAGAAAATTAATACTGATTTGGAAAAATAAAAACCTATAATTCTAAGTGTGAGACACCTTATAAATGTTAGGAATTAGCAGGGATTTGTGTTTCAGAATTTATTACACGTCATGATACAACTGGTGAAAAATTGAAGAATTCCATGAATGTAAAGAAAGTAGGCACTTTGGGAGGCTGAGACGGGCAAATCACGAGGTCAGGAGATCCAGACCATCCTGGCTAACACGGTGAAACCCCGTCTCTACTAAAAAATACAAAAAACTAGCCGGGCGTGGTGGCGGGCGCCTGTAGTCCCAGCTGCTGGGGAGGCTGAGGCAGGAGAGTGGCGTGAACCCGGGAGGCGGAGCTTGCAGTGAGCTGAGATCCGGCCACTGCACTCCAGCCTGGGGGACAGAGCGAGACTCTGTCTCAAAAAAAAAAAAAAAAAGTAGGGAGACCTTTTTGGTGGCTCAGAACCGAGTCAACCTCAGGGAATTCATAACGGGGAGAGGAGGGCAGTGGATTTGCTGAGAGAAGTTAATCATTCAGACCTTTCTCAGCAGCAGTCATTAGCCCTTAGGGGAAATCAGATGATTCAAAATATAAATGCAGGCCGTGCGCGGGTGGCTCCCGCCTGTAATCCCAGAATTTTGGGAGGCTGAGGTGGGTGGATCACAAAGTCAGGAGATTGAGACCATCCTGGCCAACGTGGTGAAGCCCCGTCTCTACTAAAATGCAAAAAATTAGCCAGGCATGGTGGTGCGTGCCTGTAATCCCAGCTACTCGGGAGGCTGAGGCGGGAATCACTTGAACCCGGGAGGCAGAGGTTGCTGTGAGCTGAGATCGTGCCACTGCATTCCAGCCTGGTGACAGAGCAACACTCCGTCTCGAAAAATAAGTAAATATATATATATGCAGGCTGGACACAGTGGCTCACACCTGTAATCCCAGAACTTTGGGAAGCCAAGGTGAGTGGATTGCTTGAGTCCTGGAGTTTGAGACCAACACGGGCAACATGGTGAAACACCGTCTCTACAAAAAATATAAAATAAATTAGCCAGGCGTGGTGGTGCACGCCTGTAATCCCAGCTACTTAAGAGGCTGAGGCAGGAGGATTGCTTAAGCCCAGGAGACAGAGGTTTCAGTCAGCCAAGATCATGCCATTGCACAGCAGCCTGGGTGACAGAGCGAGACTCTTGTCTCAAAAAAAAAAAAAAAAAGATGGGGCCGGGCATGGTGGCTCATGCTTGTAATCCCAGCACTTTGGGAAGCTGAGGTGGGTTGATCACTTGAGGCCAGGAGTTCGAGACCAGCTTGATCAACATGGTGAAACCCCATCTCTACTAAAAATACAAAATTAGCTGGGCATGGGGGCACATACCTGTAATCCCAGCTACTTGGGGGGCTGAGACATGAGAATCTCTTGAACCTGGGAGGCGGAGGTTGCAGTGAGCTGAGATTGCGCCAAAAAAAACCCAAAATGTAAAGGCCATATATATGGGACACCAATTTGCTTTAGCTAACAAAGTATTCATCTGACAGTACTTGAGGAAGCCTATAGTAGTATTTAAAATTCAGCAGATTCTTTCATCCCACATAAATCTTGTTAAATATTTGCAAGCTAATTCACTAAAATTAACTGGAGCTGAATCAATGTGGGAAAGGATTTAACCAATGTTTACTTTTTACTCACCCTCATCATTATAACATTTCTTTTAGGGTGAATTTATTAACTGTATCTACATATTCTCATTTATAAATTAGTACTGTTAGCACCATATTTCTTAGCTGCATTGTGAGGGTTAAATACATTTATATTTAAAGCAGTGTCTGTCTAGTATTGAAAGTGTGCTAAATGAAGGCATTTATTGTTTTTCTTTGTTATTTTCTTAATCGTGCATTATTAGACATGAGAGGAAGGACTTATATATGCAGTGACTATAGGAACATCTTGCATCATCTCTTTTTCTTTATTGAAGGCTAGGTAATTCCTTCTGGAGAAAAATTTAATGCTATGAAGCCTTTATTTATAGCTCACCCTTTTGCCTTACTAGGGGATTCGTAATGTAAAGAAACCCAGTAGAATAAAAGTGAGTTGCTGTGAAGTCAGGTGGAAGATTTAGATGATTTATTAAAACTTTTAAAAAGGCTGGGCGTGGTGGCTCACGCCTGTAATCCCAGCACTTTAGGAGGCCAAGGGGAGGCAGACACTTAAGGTCAGGAGTTCGAGACCAGCCTGGCCAATGTGGTGAAACCCAATCTCTACTAAAAATACAAAAACTGGGCCGGGCGCGGTGGCTCAAGCCTGTAATCCCAGCACTTTGGGAGGCCGAGACGGGCGGATCACGAGGTCAGGAGACCGAGACCATCCTGGCTAACACGGTGAAACCCCGTCTCTATTAAAAAATAGAAAAAAACTAGCCGGGCGAGGTGGCGGCGCCTGTAGTCCCAGCTACTCCGGAGACTGAGGCGGGAGAATGGCGTGAACCCGGGAGGCGGAGCTTGCAGTGAGCCGAGATTGAGCCACTGCACTCCAGCCCGGGCGACAGAGCGAGACTCCGTCTCAAAAAAAAAAAAAAAAAATACAAAAACTAAGCCGGGCATAGTGGCGTGCACCGGTTGTTCCAGCTACTTGGGAGGCTGAGGCAGGAGAATCGCTTGAACCCGAGAGGCAGAGGTTGCAGAATTAAAAAATAATACAGCCCTAATCAAAATTCATTTCTCCACTAGAAAATTTGAAAACTACCTGTATAAATAATTTTTATATTAAAAAGGATGTCAGCCTGGTGGAGTGGCTCACACCTGTAATCCCAACACTTTGGGAGGCCAAGGAGGGTGGATCACGAGGTCAGGACATAAGACCATCCTTGCCAACATGGTGAAACCTCGTCTTTACTAAAAATACAAAAATTAGCTGGGCGTGGTGGTTCACACCTGTAGTCCCAGCTACTCAGGAGGCTGAGGCAGGAGAATCGCTTGAACCCGGAGCGGGAGGTTGCGGTGAGCCGAGATCGCACCACTGCACTCAATCCTGGCCCAGACTCCGTCTTGGCCGGGCGAGGTGGCTCACGCCTGTAATCCCAGCACTTTTGCGAGGCTGAGGCGGGCGGATCATGAGGTCAGGAGATGGAGACCATCCTGGCTAACATGGTGAAACCTCGTGTCTACTAGAAATAAAAAAATTAGCCAGGCGTGGTGGCAGGCCCCTGTAATCCCAGCTACTCGGGAGGCTGAGGCAGGATAATCGCCTGAACAGGGGAGGCAGAGGTTGCAGTGAGCCGAGATCACACCACTGCACTCCAGCCTGGGCGACAGCGAGACTCTATCTCAAAAAAAAAAAAAAAAAAAAAGATGTCAAGGCAGGCCTTATTAGGAATGAATGACAAAGGGAATACGTATGGAAATGTATAGGGTGTGAACAAAGCTATACTCTCAAGAAAATTAATATGTATAGAAAACGGCCAGTTAAGGACCAGGATTCATTCCGACTTTAACCTGTGTGCTCCCTGTTCCTAGCAGGTTCTCAGTAAATATTTGATCATAGGAATGTGTGAATGATCCAAGGAATGAGAGTGAATGAATAAGCATCCAACCCTTGGATGTAGAAAAGCTCTAGAAAAATTAATGGAAGGCAAAAACAAAACACAAGACTTTGAAATGAAAAGCATTGCACCTTATAAAGAAGAAACTAGGTCGGGCACAGTGGCTCACGCCTGTAATCCCAGCACTTTGGGAGGCCGAGACGGGCGGATCACGAGGTCAGGAGATCGAGACCATCCTGGCTAACACGGTGAAACCCCGTCTCTACTAAAAATACAAAAAAAGAATTAGCCAGGCGTGGTGGCGGGAGCCTGTAGTCCCAGCTACACGGGAGGCTGAGCCAGGAGAATGGCGTGAACCCGGGGGGCGGAGCTTGCAGTGAGCCAAGATCATGCCACTGCACTCCAGCCTGGGCGACAGAGCGAGACTCCGTCTAAAAAAAAAAAAAAAAAGAAAAAAGAAACTCAAGCATAGTTAGTTGCATATTCATTGGTGTTAACCATTCTCCTTTTGGCAGGATTGCCTGCTGCTCTCCTGAGTCTGTAAATGCCAGATATTTGATCTCCTAGCTTGCCTTGCATCTGGTCACACCTATTATAGCCCTGGATACAGAAGATCTGTGCAAAAGTCTGCAAATGGGTTTCAGTTAAATTTTGTTTCCTAACAAAATGGGAGAAAATGATCTGCTTAAATACAAGATACATGTCTGTATGTCACCGTGACACCTGGAATTGTGGACATTTTGCAAGCAGAGAATCAAGAGTCTGAGATTGGCACAGAATAGGTTGGAATTATGTGTGTTCTTGACATTGTTTTTTTGTTTTGTTTTGTTTTTTTCTTTTTTAGACGGAGTCTCACTCTGTCACCCAGGCTGTATTGCAGTGATGTGATCTCGGCTCACTGCAACCTCTGCCTCCCGGGTTCAAGCGATTCTCCTGCCTCAGCCTCCTGAGTAACTGGGACTACAGGCACGCGCCACCATGCCCAGCTAATTTTTATATTTTTAGTAGAGACGAGGTTTCACTATGTTAGCCAGGCTGATCTCTAACTTCTAACCTCATGATCTTCCCGCCTCAGCCTCCCAAAGTGCTGGGATTACAGCCATGAGCCACCACTCCCAGCCAACATTGTTGATATGATGAAACAATTAAGAACTGCCCTTTCCCTGGACTTGGTGCATGAGTTGTTGTAAGTTTATTTTTATTTATTTATTTATTTTATTTTATTTATTTTTTGAGATGGAGTCTTGCCCTGTTGCCCAGACTGGAGTGCAGTGGCACAGTCTCAGCTCACTGCAACCTCCACCTCCCAGGTTCAAGCAATTCTTGTGCCTCAGCCTCCTGAGTAGCTGAGACTACAGGCACCTACCACCATGCCCAGCTAATTTTTTTCTATTTTTGGTAGAGACAGGGTTTCACCATGTTGCCCTGGCAGGTCTTGAACCCCTGGCCTCAAGTCATCTGCCCACCTCAACCTCCCAAAGTGCTGGGATTACAGGCATGAGCCACTGCGCCTGCCTTCATATG